CAAGTCTTACGCGACACTATTCCGATGATATCCTGGACGTCAGTCTGAGCGAGATTAGAATGGCTCTCCAGCACCTTAAAAACGGCAGGGCCCCAGGCGAGGATAGAATTACAGCGGAGCTTCTGAAAGCGGGTGGAACACCGGTACTTGAAGTCCTTCAGAAGCTCTTCAATTCCGTCCTCCATGGTGGCACTACTCCGGAGGCGTGGAGCAGAAGTGCGGTGGTCTTGTTCTTTAAGAAAGGCGACAACGCTCTTGAAGAACTACAGACCGATTTCCCTTCTGAGCCGCGTCTACGTGCTGTTTTCGAAAGTCATTACGAATCGTCTCGCACGCAGACTCGACGACTTCCAGCCTCCCGAACAAGCCGGTTTCCGAAAAGGCTTTAGTACCATAGACCACATACATACCCTGCGGCAGATTGTACAGAAGACCAAAGAGCAATACAATCTGCCACTTTGCCTGGCGTATGTGGACAATGAGAAAGCCTTTGATTCCGTCGAAATTTGGGCGGTGCTATAGTCCCTTCAGCGGTGCCAAGTTGACTGTCGGTATATCGAAGTGCTGAAGTGTTTGTAAAGTAGGGCTACGATGGCTATCCGAGTACAGAACCAGAGTTCGAAACCTATCCAACTGCAGAGAGTTGTAACACAGGGTGACGTTATATCCCCGAAACTCTTCACCGCTGCGTTGGAAGACGTTTTCAAGCTACTGGACTGGAAAGGATACGGTATTAACATCAATGGCAAGTACATCACTCACCTTCGATTTGCCGACGATATAGTCCTTATGGCAGAATCGCTGGAGGACCTTAGCACTATGCACAATGACCTCAATGGTGTCTCCTAACGGATAGGTCTTAAGATGAACATGGACAAAACAAAGATCATGTTTAATGTCCATGTCACATCTATGCTGACGTTGTTAACGAGTACGTTTCCTTGGGACAAATAGTCCGACTAGGTAAGTCCAACTTCGACCGAGAGGTCAATCGACGGATTCAACTCGGCTGGGCAGCGTTCGGGAAATTACGACACATCTTCTCGTCAGGTATACCTCAATCTCTGAAAACTAAAGTGTATAACCAGTGCGTGTTGCCAGTGATGACTTACGGAGACGAGAGACGTGGTCCTTCACTGCTGGCCGTATGAGGACGCTCAAGGTTGCTCAGCGAGCTATGGAGAGGGCTATGCTTGGAGTTTCTCTTCGTGATAGGCTCAGAAATGAGGATATCCGCAGTAAAACCAGAGTGACCGACATAGCCTAACGGATTAGTAAGCTGAAGTGGCAATGAGCCGGCCATATAGCTCGAAGAACCGATAACCGATGGGGAAGAAAGGTTCTCAAGTGGCAGCCTCGTACCGGTAGGCGTAGTGTAGGGCGAACCCCCACTAGATGTAGTTACGACCTGGTAAGACATGCAGGAAGTCGATGGATGCAGGTGGCTCAGGACCGTGCTTTGTGGCACTGTTACTTGGGGGAGGCCTATGTTCAGCAGTGGACTTGTGAAGGGCTGTAATGATGATGATGATGATGATATAAACTATCCTTCTATATTGAATTTAGAATGAACATCTGCACGTTCATTATTTGCATAATGGACAGAATTTATTGTGACCAAATCAAAGTGTCTCCTATTATCTTCATTTACTGTAAGAAACACGGCATTATTATTGTGGTTTTATGCGTTGATTTTCTCTTAGAACTTGGTCCTCCAAAATATGATCGTACGGAAGGAGTGACGTCCAGGTAAGACAGGCAGGGAGTCGATGGATGTATGTGGCTAAGGACCGTGCTTTTTGGCATTCTTTGGGGAAGGTCTATATACAGCGGTAGGCTTGTGAATGGCTGAATAATGTGTACCTAATGATGATAATGATGAACCATTATCGATAATAATGTCGGCTTGCCATACCGAACGTACACAAAAACATCTTATTTATCTTAGCAATTGTCGTATATTTATGAATGTAATGTGTGTGAATACAGGCAAAATTCGTTATATTTTGGAAAATGAGTTCCGACGTGGAAATTATTTATTTTAAACGGCACGCTATATCAATCTATTAACTTTATTCCTGCTATATGCACATCTCAAATAAAAAACTCATCAATTTGCTCGACCAACAACCCTTCTATTATTATTATTACATCTATTATTTTACTGTCTGTCCTATTGAAAACTCTTACTTATGTCTTACCTGCATTCACTTTATTTTCCCAGTCTTTTTCAACTCCCTCGTCATCGACGCAAATATATAGACAATGTACGAATGCTTCTTGTATGGTGACAATCAACGTACAAGTGGCATTTAATAGCGATCACACCTATTTTTACCCACATTCTTAAATTTAAAAATAATAATTTAATGATTTGATAAATTATCTCTTAGCTATTATGTGCGAATTATTTTATTCATTTCAGTGTGTTTTTATTTTATTTTAATTTTTTGTTTTATCCCTGTTAATTAGCTAGGCATTTTGATTTTGTATTAAAACATCGTTTTATCTGTTTTTCTGTGAATAGCTTAATAAATTATAAGTAGCACTGGAAACGTAGTACTATTGCAGGAACTAAAAGGAGTACTGGAATACTGGTGCAAAACCGTTATAGTCCAACTATTTAAAACAAAAAGCTCTTGCGATTCTGAAATAAGTACAATAGAATCAGCTTTCTTGGTAATGTATGAAAAATTATGTAAATCCAACTTACACATCCCATATTTTGAGATGATTTCTTTATACGTTTATTGAACTGTAGGATTACGCTTAGGTATAGAATGGATATACTAGCTCAAATTCTGAAGAGAAGACGTTTGCGATCGATACTAATAAATAGTTTTTATTAAAGAGTCGTTTGATAGAAATAAAAATCAAAATACGATAATGCAACAAACACCCGTTTTATTGAAACCGTTTTGCTGGAATTCCATCTTAGTCCTCAAGGGTGACAACGCATCTGCATTTTGATTCTTAAGTGAGGTTAAATGATGGCCACAGCATCTTCTTACCATCAGGTGGGCAATATGCTCGTTTGTCACCCTTATCTGATAAACACAATATAATAAATTATAATTTGATAAGTCGGTCAAGGGTTTCCGGATTTATTACCAGGAAATAAAGCAGTGTTGATTGACAACGGGAATAGGAAACCAGTTTCTGTTATTACGCCGTCTCGCGAGGAGGAGATTCGCGTGGATGCGATTGAGGTGCAATCGCTGTTAGTTAGATAATTAGTGCGATTTGCGGGCTACAGTGGTGTAAGGCACTCCGCCACCTACGCTGTGAGAGCAAGTAAAGCTAAGTCAATTGAGTTATGGCGAACGATCAATGCCGTAGCTTCAAAACCAAAACAGTTTGGCCTTTTCTTTTCAACAAATAGGAAAACTGATACTCGTGGTTGGAGTCCATATTTTGATCCTCCAATAACTAGGTTAATGTACGACTTATGGCTAAGATGATTGATCCGATGAAAGAAAATATAAAGATCTATTAGTAGATATTTTATATAAAAGTCATTTACAAATTAACATCTTCTTAGTAAATATGAATTTTATATTAAACTTATAACGAAAATATCATATTTCGTACTTCTTTTCATTACAAAACGGGAAAGATGTATAATAAGACTAAATAGAGTTAAATGTCGGCACCACATATCGATCGAAATAAAAAAAATACTTCCAACTAGTTTCTTTTCAAAAACAAAGTTCGTGAACACTTTAGAAAATCGTTGCTAGTATAAATTAACGCTTTTTCCTAAATAATTTATTTGTAATGACATAGAAATATTATGTAAAACATACATATTTTATAATATTTATTCAAGTAGATTAATTATTTGTGTACTTTTGAATTAATATATTTATATTATATATAACACATTTGAGTGACATATTTAATTGAATATCTTTTGTAAACAATTCATTTTGGTTTATCTATACTTCGTATTTTTTTCCTTATTAGTTTGTTTTACAAATGGCTGACTGGGAGAGAATGTATTAAGGCATTAAGTTATATATTTGTTTGTGCATAAAAGTTTAATGTCCAGATCTTTTCCCTTTGTGAACCTAGATGTCAAATTAATAGTTTCTATGTAGCCTAGAACTTCTAGGTCTGCCTAGATTTTTCATGAGCAAAGTTAGTGTATCTTTCAGTGAGTAATAATAAAATAGCACTTATAGTTAAAAAATGTAACTATATATATATATATATATATATATATATATATATATATATATATATATATATATATATATATATATATATTAATGGTCCATATAAGGTATTAGCGCAGAGTTAATAATTTTGATTTTTATCAAGAAAATTCTAATGCCCATCGCCTGTCTCAGTTTTCCTCTTTCCATCCCTTATGGCATGCATAGGAGGTTATGGAGTTGTGGAACCTCAAATGCCGCCCCTACTCACTGACATTACGGATAATAAACTTGTGCAAACGTTCACCCGTTTTTTGACCGTCAATGTCATGAAACCACCACTATCATAACATTCCAACCAGTACGCCATCTGTCATCGGAGCATGACTGCCGGTTGTAACGTCCTGGGTTCTCAAGCTCCCGGATTAAATCTACGTTTTTAATATTTTATTATTAAAAATCGTTCAATTTTAACGTAAAGCTAAAAAATTACAGATTATTGTAAATAGTAATTATGAATCCACATTTTGATTTAATTCAATCGTTTTAAAGAAGAAGGCAATGAATAGTTAAAACTGTTCTGTTAATTTTTTAAATTTACGTGTAGAAATTTTAGATACTGAAATAAGTTCATCATATTCCTTATATACAAAAGAAGAAAATCAGGGAAAACAATTTAAAAAATTCGAAAGCACAAATAAAGTAATATCAACAACAGTAGGTTAAAGTGCGGCTCATTCAGGCGTTTTATTGCTCAATCGATTTTTCTCGATATCATGTATTTATTTTAAACTTTATTTTAAAGTTCGTATAAGATTTTTAAATTTATTTATAAACCTAAATTCAAGGCTTATTTTGTATGTCTCTGACCACTTCATTACCCCTGGCAATCGCCCGGGCATGGACCACTGTTGCGGCAGCAGAATTTGCTATGGCGGTGGCAACTGCTGCGTCGTATGCTTGTGCTTCGGCATCTCCAACTGATGAGCCAGCAGTGTTCACATTGGAGGTGGCAGCTCCTGCGTTGTATGCGTATGCTGATGCGCCCCCAACTGATGACCCAGAAGTATTTAGAGTGGCGATCGCGACCCCTGTGTCGTGTGAGTGTGCTATGACTGTGCCGACTGATGAGCCGGCAGCATTTACCATAGCAGTCGAGGCACCCGTACCATAGGTCAATGCTGTTGCAGTGGCGACTGCTGTACTCGAGGCTATTGCTGTAGCTGTATGTGGTCCCGTGCCATAACCACCCATTACAGCAGTGGTGATTTTTGGGCTATAGCCGACTGCTTTAACTGTGATGCCTATCACACCAGTTCTGGAAACTGTAATGAATATTTCTTATAGTTTATGTTATTAGTGAAAGTAATAACTGATATCATATTAAGAGTAGATAGAATATGAGCCTGTCTATTACAAGGGCAAAAGTAATTCAAGCAATTCACGTTCAATAATAAAGTAGCCTTACAGTCTTTTTATACGTCCTGACTGAGGAACGGAGTAGATTTCATCGCAGAGACCTACCCTAATAAAATCATTTATTTAGTTTCTATTTTTAAAATTTAGGTTTGCTCACAATAGTTTCTTCACCGCTGAGAACGAGGTAAATCAAATTTTTAACCCCTGACCCAAACAAATGGGTGTTATATAATTAACACGTGTATTTGTAATGTGTATGTGTTTTTGTATGTGGCATCGTAGTTCCCAAGCGGAAGAACCGATTTATATTTAGTATTTTTTTTGAAAAGCAACTTTATGGAGAGTGTTCTTAGCTATTATTCAAGAAAATATTTTCAGCCGTTTGAAAATCATCTGCTCTTATTGTTTCGGGTGTTTTTAAAACTGTCAATTTAATATCATTACAACGCTATTAACAAAAGCAAATATATGTTGCAGAAGTGAATGGAAGAGTAGGAAAGGGACGTCCTAGGCGAAAGTTTGTCGACCAAATTGGCGATGTATTAAAAATGGGCCAAATTAAGAGTACCCTTAACCGACGAGCATGTATGCGTAGGTAGGTATATGAATGTAGAGGAGGCGAGAGAGGTATGTCAGGATCGTGCCAAATAGAAGTCTGTAGTCTCTGCCTACTCCTCTGGGTGACAGGTGTGAGTGTTTATGTATATGTGCTATTAAAAATTTCATTGGTTTAGATTAGGATTGAAGTTGTGTTCTTTATATGCTATCCGGACATTTACCTCCTGAGCTATCACGAAACTCCTTACATTATTAATCTTTAAATTTAATATTAATTTCTATTAACTAATGTTTATTTTACATAAGGTATCAATCTCGTCAAAAGTTTTGTCTTTTTTATAAGAGAACTGGTGATACTAGCGCCATCTATTTTTAAATACAAATTAATGTAATTCTACTAATAATAATCTATCTTTTACTACTACGGTTGTAGATTTTTTTAATTAATCATCCAGCTCCGAATATAAATTAAAAGTGACTGAACTTAACACCAATTTGGAATGAGATTTTATACTGCATTCAAATTCGAACTTTAATTACATAACCAAACAAAGTTTCTTATTGGTATTACTTTACAAAAGTAACTTATTTAAAAGAAATTGTTACAAATTATATTTTAAATGTGTAACTTGTTATTTACTTAAGGAATTTTTGATACCTCATATATTTTTTATAATATTGCGTCTAAAATTTCATTTACATCGGACAGACGTAAATCTTAAATCTGTAAAAGTACCGATATTTGTATATTTATCATTAACGTCGCTAAGTTCAAATAATGTTTAGTTAGTTGTAGATTAAGTTTCATGAGTGCAGAACTCGCGCTGAGAATATGCTGAGAAGAACCAGGTTATTTAACTGGTTTCCCCCGAGGTGTGCTGATTAACCAGTAGTAGCAGTGTAAGAATATATCTCCCCGTGGGTAATACGTTTTTGAAATTTGTAATCTCAAGGCCATCTATGACAAGATAGCGTTGAGATTACAAATTACTGAAAAATACACTAGAGGGCGCTATTAAATTGGGTCAGTATGAATTCGTACATTTTAATAAAATTAAAAGGAAAGGTTTTAATATTAGAAAAGAGCTAATATGCATTAAATATACATATACATTTTATAATATTTCATTTAGTTTCTATTAAATAACCATGGTTTGAATTACAGCGATAATTACTTAAGAGTTCTTTTTAATATATAGGTACCGCAGTATTTCAGAGCTTTGATTATAAAATATATATCTTTACCTAATAGTAAAGATAAGTTTGTTTATTTCCCACTGATATCGTATGATTTTTTTTTAAATTACGTTGTGTTCGAATTTTTTAAGTAATCGAAATCAAAAGTTTCAAAATGCATAATACACGTTATGAAATCTGCATTATTAATTTTGCTAGATTATTGTCATATTTAATCTTTTGCTTAATGCTTAACGTAACGTATTGCTATTTAAAAAAATATTTATATAATTAAAAAGCGTCGTAAATAAAACCGGTTGTTTATTTTGTTGACGAGCTCGATTACAATGCTCGCACTACAAAAGCAACTTAAATATTTTTGCGATGAATATAATGATTTAATTAAGTGTTTTAAAGCTAAATCAAAGAGAACGGTCGGTTTAAACGTTTTCATAGATTAAAATAATTTAATACACGACGGTGAAAGAAATAACATTTTGAATAGCACTGGGTGTTTTTATTTTGATAATAATAAAAACACCCAGAGTGTTATACTATGGTCTATGTAACAATTCGGCATGTAAGGAAAAATATAAGCTATGCTGAATTTGAACCCTTGCGAGATTATTTATTTATAAAACCTACTTTGTTGTTTATATGCCTTAAAATAAACGATGGCACTTATTTGACCAAAAATTCATGACGTGAATTGATGTCTATTTCGCCTCATGTGAATTCATAAAATTACTAAATAAAGTGAGCCTGATATTTAATGATAAAAAAATCGACGTCCCGGTTTCATTTATAAAATGCAATTATACTTTTTTTAATTTTTTACTTTGCCCCATTTATAATATAATTGACCTAATATAACCATTATATTGATCATTGATTGAAGAGTGACTGTCTTACTAAAATTTGGATTTATTTTCAAATTTTAAACAATGTGTGCGATGTACCTGTCTCCGTCCATTAATCAAAAGTTAAATAACTTTACGCTACGCAACACATACGCACGGACGCTTCGTTACAATGATACTTTTGTAATTACATACATGGACTGTGAGATGAGATCAAATGCTGAATGAAAAAAATTTTCTTCGCGTATTTTTTGATAAACAATAAAATTATGTCATCTTTGTAATATCTCAAATGTCAATTTATTGGTATATTAAATACTTTTTTAAGCTTGACAAAGGCAGAGAACGCTCAAACAGAATGTTGATGATATTATAGCAAAAGTTTTAAAAGCTAATAAATTAATTACAGCTTCGATAACGTAAATAACACAAGTTGTTGTTTTTGATAACCTCTAAACAAAAATTTAAAAACAATGCCTTGAAAACGATTTCATAACCGATTGTTGCACGGTGAACGTCGAGTCTTGTTTGCGCACGTTCATCAAGCTCGGAGGCCTCTCAGAGGGTGAAACTTATTTATTACCCGGATAATCGAGTGGAACCTGGATTTCCTTTTATGCGCTGTAGAGTTGTTTTATTTATTACAACGGGCCAGTGATAACTTTAAATAAAAATCGTACATTTATATCTATTTATTTGCTTATACACTCTTAATTCATTTTGATCTAATGTACTAAGACTGTCGTCTAATGATTACAAACTTTTATTAAAACGGTTCATATTACGCCGGGGCAAGTCAAAAGACTTTGGATGTGCTCCGATATACACTGCGAGCACTACTCAGTACTTTCATTGGTGGAGAATCCGTTCCGTTTTGAACTGCCAGTATGCTGTACCTTGTGCCTGTGCTGTTGTTATTTAAATAAACTGGGACATTAAGTTTTAGAAGCAACATCATTTAAATAAATTTAAAAGATTTAAAAGATTTTTTTTTCCTCGCACAACCTCCTTGTGCAATCGACTACCACCAACATTTTTTCCGACTCGATACGGATTAGGGAACTTCAAGAAATAGCCTACTCCTTTTTAAAAGACCGGCGACATATCTGCAGTTCATGGGCGCGGTAATCACTTACCATCAGGTGAGCTCGTTTGCTATCATATCATATATAAAAAATATTGTTGAACAGAAAACGTGTATATGATAAACATTTAAATTTGTAAACAGTGTCGAAAAACGGGGATGAAAGAATACTGGACTGCGCTCCTTTTTAAACAGTAACCGGTATAGCAAACTAAAAAGAAACGGCTTCACAGTATACCTACTGGATTAATGTCACAGTATACCTACATCAGAATTCACTACATATAGTATACTAGCTGACCCTGCGACCTTATTTGTAATATTTGGCAATAATTTAAGATAACCGAAGATGCTATTCTAGATAAAAACATTTAGTTAGTCTTCCAATCGGAAAAACAGAAATAAAACGAATGAACCAACAGACGGTTTAGTATGCTGATTGTTTACAAAATAACAATTGAAAAGGAACGCGACAATGATACGAAACTGACCTTGGTAAGCCGGTTTCGTTAATCAATATTATGATGGCTGTGGTCATGATCAGGGGCCGTGTAAGTGAACTAATTGGTGTAACGTCATGTACTATAAATAGTCACATGAATAACTAAAACGATGTAATATCGTGGTGCAAATGTATGTGGTCGTATTACCTTTGTTTATGTGCGGTATTTAGGTACATGTGGACCTACGGCCGCCAAACATGACTTTGAAAATTGCCAGCTTCATCAAAACACACCCAAAAACATTTCACTGTAAATAAAACGAGTCCATAGAAATTTTCCGACGGCACGGCTGACGCGCCATCTGACCGTGACTTTAGACTGTGACTTCAAATCCTATAGTTGTTGCGCCTCCGAAACCCGACAAACATTTTTTTTGTTGAAAATCAGTTTAGTGCATTATTTAATATGTTTAAGCTGCACACACCTATTTTGTATTTATTAATTCAATTCGTTACAAAAATAGCAAAAACTGATATGTATTGCTTTCTATAAGGGACCGAATTTTTATGAGTCCAAAAAACTATAACGTTGTATTTTTCATAAATTATATTTAGGTATAATAATTTATACCGAAACTTATATAATATGCTGCAAAGGTGGAACACCCTCGGGCTTATTAACTGATATTACCGTAGTACTTTACACTATTTATGGTCACGGGGGATTGAGACGTCCCAATGTCATAGTTTACAAAGGTTACCTTCAGCTTGAAAGTATTAATATTTGGTCTGATTTACGAAAAATGAGCTCATAGTATCTTGAAGTCTTGCAGTTGTATGTTAAGGTCGGGTTTTAATTTTATAATTTTATTAATTATAGGATCCCAAGTAAATGGAGCATGAGGAAATAGTTTGATATCTATCTATGCTATGAGCTATGACTGTTGGAGTCTTAATCAAATCTACATTGGAAATATAGTCTTTTTATCCTAATGAGCTAATTTTAATATAAATATACATTATGATGTATCTCGTAGTTCTAATAGTTCGCCGTTAATTTCTGAGTACGCGAGCAATCCGGGTTCGATTCCCGCCGGCACAAATGTATTTGTTAACTACAATTTTAAGTGCTGATTTAAAAGCATTGTGAGGAAACCTGCATGTATGATAAATGATTAAAAAAATCGATAACATGTGAAGTTCCTTGGAAAGTTCCTTGCCTTGCAAAAATGAGAGGACCCCTATGCCTATGTATATAGGCTGTAAATTTACCTTTTTGAACTTTTCATTATTGTTAACGAAGAACACGCGAATATATAAAAGTTAATTATTATAGTTTAAACATCTGTAACTCGAGACTGACTGACTGAACCCTTATTTTCAAAATATATTGCCTATGCTCTATTCTGGTATGTTATCAATAATGTTGCCAAATTTATATAAAATCTGTTCAGTAGTTTTTGCGTGATTTAGCCACAAAGTTACAAAAATCCAAACATCAAAACTCACATTTTTAGTAAAAGTGGGATCGCAAAAATAAAGGCTTTAATTTTTGGTGAAATTATGTTGCTAAAAGTTTCAATACTTAATTTAGGAATCTTTAAAGTAAATTGATCAATTGATATGCACTCGAAGGTTAGCGACAAATTATCATGTGTACTTACGTTAGAACTAAGTAACTTGTACAATGTACTAAAAGCTCCAATATCACATAATATACATACAAGGAGAAGCAATTCGGCGCCGGTGGCGCGAAAGATTTCCCAGCAGTGGCAGTGCACTGACGTTGTACAAATCTCTGCTCACGAGACCTGCTAATAACACAAACATCGATTACAAATTGTCATTTTTAGTTTCGACTAACATAGTCATGCACTAGCTTCCGTTCCATTTTTTTTTAATATGGGTGACAAACGAGCACACGGTCCACCTAATTGTAAGTGGATTCAGAAGCCCATAGACATCTACATCTATCCTCGAAAATACAGATGCGTTGTCACCCCTGAGAACTAATATAGAATGGCTTGGTTCCCAGTAAATAGGGTCTTAGGTCTTCGGTTAGGTCTAGGGTCTTCGGTTGCCTGCACACATCACACAAAACACAGCAGCATTAAGCTGCTATTTTACACTTGTGTTTTCTGAAGGAACAAAAGGCAAAGGAACACACGATTCACCGTAAGTGATCATCGTCGCCCATGAACATCTGCAACACCAGGGGATTTGCAGGTGCGTTGTCAGCCTTTGAAAAGGGGGTAAGTTCTTTTCATGAAGGTCCTTAAGTCGTATTGGATCGAAAAAACCTGATTATTATTATGTGAGAATGTGATCATTTCCTAGTCGAGCAGACCTATTCATGCTGCATCCATAATATAGCTGCGGCATGCAGCATGCAAATAAATTCATTTGAAACCTACATTCATTTTCGATAAAGAATTAAAATAAAGATGCGTTGTAACGTGTGAGGTAACACAGCAGCATTATTCCAATATTTTGTCGTGTTACTTTGTGTAAACGTGTAGTGGCGGTGTAAGAATATTCATAAAAAACACAAACATAAACAATTACGCTTGTCACTTAAAGGGGGTAGGCAGAGACTTCCGTTTCGAACATGCTCGTCGATTAAGCGTACTCTTAATATGGCCCATCTTCAACATAATATCAGCAATTTGGTCAATAAATTTTCGTCTTGGGCGTACCTACCCAACTTTGCCGTTCACTTCTGCAGCAATGTTAATTTTGTCTCTCTTTATCGTTCATTTTCCATATGATTAAGCCACCGAAGTTTTCTTTTTTAGTCCTGGTCACAACATCATCCCGCAAACCACACTTTACTCTTATCACACAATTTCTCACCCTGTCGTTCAGATTCAGCTCTAATAAACTTCTAAATAACCGCATTTCTACAGCAATTATTCTACTCTGATGCTTCTTCTACTACACCCAACTTTCATTCCCATATTTTAAGGTACGAAATAACAAAGCATTGTGAATGCTCATACATGATTTTTGACACATTCTGAATTCCTACAATACAATAGCCTCATTCACACTATATTCTGCGTTCACTCTTCATTCTAGAATATTAACTATTCCATATGAATTCCCGTCGGTTCGGTCGTTACAGCCCGTCGGTGCTGTAAGAGGCAACTGGAGAATTCTGAAACAGGAGAGGGACAGCAGCATCTTCTTGATATTAACTCAATATTATTGAAAAAAAAACTGCGGTTTACGAACCACCTGCCAAATGTGGCAACTATGGCATATGAAAAAATGGGGGAGGTCTATGTTCAGCAGTGGACATTTATAGGCTGTAATGGACATAATGGAAAGGATTATGTGTAAGTGTTTGGTACTCATAGGTATGAGTCGACCGTCTTGTGCTGCAGCCATAATTCCACCATAGGCTCTGCTTCGTATAACACAACTTATCATATCGTAGTAGGCGGTAGGTATTCAAAAACCACCAAGATTAAGTGACTGTGCAGAAACAGATTGCGAAGTACGTTGTAGAAATCTGCAGGGCCAGTGTCGGTGAGCAGTGTAGATTACAAAGACTACCAGTGCTTTTACTATTGCTACTTTTTTCCGTGTCAAAGGCAACTTCACATAGCAAACATTAGAGTATAATCATTAATTATTTGTATTTGGTAAGATTATTTGGTAATTACAAAGTTAAAATTACCAGAAGGAGCAGAGGAATTTTTCAAGTACGGAAATCCAGTTCGACTAGCCATAATTATCATTCTAAAATTTTCGTGCACAGGAATGAAATCAGCTGATATGGTTCCAGAACTATTCATTACTTCCTTGGGAATCATTTTTCTACCATCACTTAGTACCATTTCTCTATTTTCCATTAAAGTATTTAAACTGTTTGTCACTTTTGTTGGCGCTTTGTCCGCTTCATCAACAACTAATACATAGCCATATTTGACGGCTTTGACCAGTGGTGTATCCTCATAAATGATAGCTCCATTTTCGACAATTGGCTGTACTGTCAAAGACTGTATCGTTGTACTGTCGTGCAATTGTGTAAATTCCGTGGGGCGATTCAAATGCTTTAACAATCTGTCTGCGATATTTTTATTTTCCAATCCCCGTTCATCGACTAGCAATAAATGATTACCCCTTTGAATATCGTAGAGTAACAACTCCAATACTTTTCTTTGGTGCGATATGTCACTGAAAAGTATTTTGGAGGCTTCTTTGAAAGCATCAGTTTTAAACATGTTTGTAGTTCTATTGTCATTTATGGAAGTTTCATTTCTAGTATGATTGGAGACTTTGAAATTTTTTTGTGGACTTTCCTGTGAATTTTGTTCCCCCAAATTGATCATAGGAAATCCCTTTGGTGAGGGTACTTCGCCGAACTGAAAATAAAAATATACAGAACACCTTGAATATTTTTTAGTTTTGAGCCACCAATGAAACTCTGGATTTCAGTAAAGTATAAAATTTCACAGCATATGTGAATTTTACGAAGACCGTAGTGACGCTGTTAATTCTTCATGGTTTGTCATGAGGTTAAGCCATACGTTAGATAACAAGATGAATTCCGTATTAATGTAGTTTCGCATATTTTCCGCTGTACATTTTTAATGGCTTACTTTCAGTAACGGTGTACAGACTAGCTTAAACTGAATAACTTTGTAACCAGTTTTTGCGTTAAAAACAACGTTATTTTATCGCAAAAAGCTACATAGTAATCTACAAAATAATATCAGAGTTTATGTGGTTTTTCTCGAAATGTATCCTTTATAGAACTGAAAAAAAAATCTGTATTTACTCCCATCTTTCCAGCTGCAATCATATTGCTGCTATAATTTTAATCAAAACTATGAAATTTCATAAATTTTTTTGCGACTCATTATACATGATTTGGTTTCTTACTTTTTGAAATCGTAAATTGTTATATTTGTAATAAATAAACCAAACATTTTATTCATAGATAAGATTCTATTGCACCCCACCCTCGTCCAAATAGTCAGTGTGCAAAAAGAACCTATCCAATTTTCGGGAGGAGTTTTTACCTTAACAACAAAATAATTCTATTTCTATATCTGAGGTTGAAATGAAAAAGGCCTAAAATCAAAAATTTGCAAAATTTGAATAAGTACATTGTTGTTTTACGAAAAACAAAACGGATAAAAAGGCGATAAAAACAAGAGAAGTTTAATATAACAGACTGTGAGGCTTTTATATACACGAAAACAGAACTTCAGGTACTAATATTTAAAAGGTCAGATCAAGGAAGATTCCCAAGTTGTGCCGCAAATGTGGCGATACAAATCAGTTTCCTGTTTCTTCTTCTTCCTCCTTTATTTTTGTGATTTCTCTTATTACTAGACTAGTGATTAGAGTCCTGCCTGGTTTCCAACTTGTAGATCCTGAGCTCAATTACCGGATAGAGGCAGCATCAAAACAAGAAAATAAAATGTTGAATCTGGTCTACATACGTTGGCAAAGACAAAGTCAAAAATATTTCTTAAGAATTTATACTATTTCAGGCTCTTATAAACATTTTTAGTCACATTATGGATATCGTAAAATGTACAAAGATTAATTACCTGCGCAATTAACCGTTGCTGCTCATTATCGGATGAAGACGCTTCGGCAAGTGTTAATATTCTACAACAAAATTATTTAGTAATTACACAATGCTTATTTCAATGCTCCACACATTACTGAAAGTGCATAATCTTTATTTTTGAAAATTGTTTTTTGTGCACAAACACATACACTGAATCGTTAAGTATACTTTAATAGCATAAATATATAAAATGTGTATAATACACACACACACACACACACACACGCACGCTGGCACGCACGCACGCACGCACGCACGCACGCACGCACGCACGCACGCACGCACGCACGCACTCACGCACGCACGCACGCACAAACGCACGCACGCACGCACGCACGCACGTACGTACACACACATATATATATATATATATATATACAGAGTGTTAGTGTAAATACCGTTATCCTCGAAACCAGTGGTTTGGTTTCACTTATAGAACGTACAGGATAAAAGTATGAAGGAAAAGTTACATCACAGGTTCTGTGTACATATTGTGTTTTTATTGGAATGTTGTATAGGTAGCTAGCGCGGGCGGTGATCTTTACAGTGAACGTCATGCGCGCTGCTGCGTGCGCAAAGGGCATCCATGAATTTACGGATGGTGTCGAACAGAAACTTTTTAAATTTTATGAAAGAAAATAGCGTTTTTTAAATTCATTGAATTTACGTTCTATAAGTGAAACCAAACCACTTTTCAAGGGTAACGGTGTTTACACTAACATCCTACACCCTGTTGGACTACATATATATATATATATATATATATATATATATATATATATATATATATATATATATATATATATATATATATATATATATATGTTCTAATTATATATATATTACCACGAAATCTGATTTTATCATAACAATCTAAAAATATTTCATGCTTAATAAAATAATTGTGGATGTAACATTACATAATATGGTATTCCTCGTTTTTAATGCGCCCCTTTGGTATTTTCCCCAGTGAAGTATAGTTATTTATGATATTATATATTTTTACAATAATTTAAGTGGTTACATGTCAATTCCAAAATTAATTCAAGATACTTTTTCCTTTATTTATTTAAAATTTATTTAAATAAAAAAATGTCCTTTATTTATAAAAATATTTTTTTATAAATAAAAATTTATTTATTAAAAATCATATGTGGAAAAATACCAGCGGTGACCTACATATCTGAGTCACAGGCCAATTTGCCTCAATATTGGTATTTTTTATGAATTTATTTAGTTGGTTTCATACGTGGTAGAGCCACGCTGCAGTTTTATTAGTAATATGGATGTAGCAAGATTGGTTCGGATCGACCGGGGAACGACAACGCTCTCACAGAATACCAGCGTAAAATAGTAGCTTCATGCTGTTGTGTTTCGTATGGTGAGTATCGGGAACCGGAGACCCTTTTTACTGGAATCTAGGCATTCCATCTTAGTCCTCACGGGTGACAACGCATCTGCATTCTGATTCGTAATCGAGGATAGATGTAAATGTCTATGGTCCACTGCAACCACTTACCATCAGGTGGACTGTGTGCTTGTTTGTCATCCATCATCATGTCATATTAAATGCATAAAATTATTTTTTGTATAGGGTACTATATAAAAATAGTTTTATGCATTTAATTTGTAATGATCTTCTTTTGTACATTTGTAATAATAACCATGTGTGATTTGAGACAAATAAAAGCTTTATAATAAATATTATATAAATTATAATTTTAATACAAACCAATAGTATTAAAAACTACACAGTACTAACATATTATATGATGTAAATAAATATTATAGTTCCCTTACACGTTTCAGAAATTAATAAAACTTCGGAATCCCTAATATTAGGTAGTAGAAAGTTTTATAACTTAACGGCATGGGCGAAAAAGGAATTACAATAAAACCCGAATTACGGACAGGAATGTTAAGAACAGTTTTGACAAGGGATTTATGTAGTCTAAAAATTGGCTCCTCAGGTATGATGAAATGTTTCGTTCCTTAAAAATATGACGAAATCCAAATCAAATTATTACTACTTACTGCCTACTTGAACTTAGGTTCTTTTTTTAATTTTAATAAAATAACCCTGTGTGTGTTTTTCGGTAAGCAGGTTGACTATAACGCAAATATATGTAAGTACAATATCATCATCATCATCATCATTACAGCCCTTCACAAGTCCACTGCTGAACATAGGCCTCCCCCAAGTAATGCCACAAAGCACGGTCCTGAGCCACCTGCATCCATCGACTTCCTGCATGTTTTACCAGGTCGTCACTTCATCCAGTGGCGGGTCGCCCTACACTACGCCTACCGGTACGAGGCTGCAACTCGAGAACCTTTCTTCTCCATCGGTTATCGGTTCTTCGAGCTATATGGCCGGCCCATTGCCACTTCAGCTTACTAATCCGTTGGGCTATGTCGGTCACTGTGGTTTTACTGCGGATATCCTCATTTCTGAGTCTATCACGCAGTGAAACTCCGAGCATAGGCCTCTCCATAGCTCGCTGAGCGACCTTGAGCGTCCTCATACAGCCAGCGGTGAAGGACCACGTCTCAAATCCGTAAGTCATCACTGGCAACACGCACTGGTTATACACTTTAGTTTTTAGAGATTGAGGTATACCTGACGAGAAGATGTGTCGTAATTTCCCGAACGCTGCTTCTTTCTTTGCTAATATGTAAATATAATCATTATACTTTTGGACTACTCCACGGCTCAGCATGTATAAAGTAAAAGGTGGTATAATAGTTACTAAAAATAGAAGTGCTTTTTTATCGTGTGTTATATTAGCCTGCATAAAATGTCTAAATGTAAGGCCTCAGGCACAGAATAAATAGTAGGAACCTCAGGCCTCAGCGTGCACTACATACGCACGCTCTTTTACTATCGTGTATATTAATGGCGGCCGCAAGTGATTACTTTCACTTTGGGCCTCCGCTTAAAATGTATGCCGAACACTCTTTACTTAGAATTTGGGCTTACTTACATGCCATTGAGCAAAATAATCAATACAATTGGCAGGATCATTATGATTGACGGTAAGCACATTGGCGATCAATATATGTATTTTCATAAGATGTGTTGATGTCACTTTGCTACAGATTTAGTCTATTCTGCGAGAAAATTCTTAGTACAAAGCACCAAAATCCAAAACTTTATTTACAACGGGTAAAGCCAACACTGATGTATTTCCAACATAGTTTGAGCTTTTATACGGTAACACAAACTAAGCACAAGGTCGAGGCTGGCTGACTGGTCTAAGTCAAAGTACTATTAAGATAAAGGGATGTCAGTATTAATTTACTTTAAAGATACAAACATCAGTAAAAAAAAACAGAAAATATACAGTAAATATTGTAACATTGGAAGTGAATAAGGTTTGGTGTTGTATTCTATACATTATATTTACTTATATAAGGGTAGAACAGAGAGTAAGTAGTAGGCAGTTAGGTTGTGTTGATCAAATTCATGTGTGTGTGCGTGTGTGTGTGTGTGTGTGTGTGTGTGTGTGTGTGTGTGTGTGTGTAAATTTAATAATTTGATATTTATATATAATTTAGTTATAAACAACAAATATAATGATACATATAAATACATGCACACGTTAATGCACATACGAGTATTTTTCAATAAATAATGTGATATATAAATAACTAAACCTATTTAATTGCTGCTATAAACATAAATAGAAAGATGACTCCGTTTCGAAGGCTACGGAGGCTTTGTATAATATCCAATATTAGATTCCAAGACGAAAAGAAGACTTTAAGTGTTTTTCATCATTGATGGTAATGGGGACTGAGATGCTGAACATAGTTCTCCCGGGCGACCTTCAGTTTTCTTCTAATTATTATTCTTTGTTATGATCTCCGCAAAAAAGCTTATATTATCTTGAAGATTATTATTAATGGTGTGTACGGTTTTGGATTTAAAATTATTTGTTACAAAATACAATACATGTAAGTGTAAACCAGATTTCTATCAAAATCTCTGTTTTTAATAGCAATAGCCTCTAGAATCTTTGATATGAATCAACACTTTTTTTGCGAGGATCTTCGTCTATAAAAGCTTGTATATTAGAAATCCTGCATATTATTTTACTTGGGTTGGGACACATTTGGGTTGAGAGCTGGGTTGATACAAGGATTAAAATCTCTAGTGCTTGTGTCAGAACCAACGGGGCCCACTGGGAATGGTTTGACATTCATTAAGGTAAAATTGGCCAGATTAAGAGCACCCTTAACCGACAAGCATGTTTGCGTAGATATGAATCCATATTTACCTCTCACGTGGATATAAAGGAGGCGAGAAAGGTGTGCCAGGATCGTGCTAAATGGATCTCTCTGCCTATCCTTCTAGGCTACAGGCGTGAGTGTTTAATATTATTATGTTTATGTCTGAATATTATTTTCGAAAACTACATACTTGCCGGAGCATAGATATTGATTGTCGGCTATATGTGTGATCTTTAAATTAATTGTGCGTCTACAAATATATGCAGTGGCGGCCCTAGGGCGGTGCGAGCGGTGCGACCGCACCGGGTGCCGAAATTAACCGAAACGCTACCACCGGGCACCGGTGACCAATTCACTCATTCTTATCACTAACATTCCGTTTTGTTGATACTAATTAGGAAGTCAAACACGAGTATGTTGTTGCTCACAAGCCAGTAAGTGACTCTTCGATGTGATGTACGTCGGTAGATCGTACAATTTAAGTATGTTTATATATTTTTCTATGTATGCAGGTAGTTGCATCTGCCACGTTGGATTTCAATAAGCACCTTTACACAAGGACGTGTTTTTATTTTTATTATATCGTTATTACGCAAAGACTTACTGGCCTCTTTCTTGATGCAATTATTTTACAAGTGTTTGACATAGACATGAATAATTGTCAAGGTCAAGGGTACAATAATGGTGCGAACATAGCAGGAAAATAAAAGGTGATGAAACCAGAATTCGACAAGTTGAAGTTATCAGAACTTAATTTGCTCATATTCACGAAATAAAATAAAATTATGTGTCCTACCCAGTCTGAAGAGCACCTCCTAATCCCCATACGTAAAATTACGTGCAGTCGTACGGTTGGGTATAATATTAACGACCTCAAAATAGTCAGCCATTCAGCCAGTCTTCTCTGGAGGGTAGTTACACTATTTAATTTTTAATAAAAGTGTATAGTGGAGGCATGATATTTGAGATCATGCCTAAGACCCGTGTTTCCTTAATTGAGTCGATCATGGATCTCAATTTTTAGGAAAGCAAGCGCAGACCGTTCTTTGCATTAATCCTATACAAACTAGCCGTCGCCTCCTGCTCTAAATAAAGATCAATGGGCGTTATATACAGAAGTGCAGTAAGAGCTGCTCCAGGCGATGATCGCATCGCTCCCGTAGCCATTAAGTGGGCAGTCCTTTGTAGACCATTTAGTCTGTCCGCAGTCAACTTTTGGTTAGCTTACACCAGACAATTGAGGCGTAGGTGATAATCGGCCTCACTATACTGCTGTACAGCCATAGGATCATACTAGGCCGCAAGCCACAGTTATTGGGGGATAAGTCGCTCGCGTCCGTATGCTTCGACCACCTAATCCTAGGCCCACCCTACACGTTTCCCCCGGGTGGTACTAAAAGAGCGACAAAGCCGAAAGAACAGACTCGTCTACTCGCCGTGTGGTAGCGGCGTAAAATATGCCACACCCTAGTTTTCGCACCATGAGGCAAAAAGTAAAAGAAATGGCTCCGAGTTCCCGTCGCCCCTTTAATGGGGCAGGGGTGCGAAGGATCTCCGGGAGGAAAACCGGTGACGAGGTTCGCCACCCGTCACGTTTTGTCTCCCAGAGAGGCGAAAAGTGGATTGCAGAGCCCCGTCTGGCTACGTTGAATGTATGTGGGGCAATGAATGATAAAATGGATGAAGTATGCGATATGATGTATGATAGAAGAATAGATGTATTATGTGTAAATGAGACGAAAAGGAACTCACTGCACATGGCATGTATACCGCGTACTGGTCTGGTGTAGACGAGATCGAGCGGGCATGCCTAGGGAGTAGGTATCATCCTTTCAGAAAGAATGGGCCAATGTGTGAAAGAGTATGAATGTGTAAGCCCAAGACTGCTATGGATACGAATGAAAGTGGGCTTAAAGAAGTTGTTTGTGTTAGGGGTCTACGCCCCAGACATGTCTAAGCTCACTTATATCCGGGAGCAGTTTTGGGAAATGGTAAGGATGGTGTTAATGAAGTTTAAGGGAAATGAAAATATTATTATGCTAGAAGATTTTAACGGAAGGGTTGGGGTGAGGAGGCTTGGTTATGAAAGGATATTGGGAACGTTTGGTGATGAAAGTATAAATGAGAATGGTGAAAGCCTCCTCACCGTATGTGTGGAAAGGAATCTTTTTGTGACGAACACTTTCTTTCGTCATAAGAAGATTCACATGTATACTTGGGAAAGAGGTGATGATAAAAGCATGATAGATTTCATAATTGTGGATGAAAGAATGAGGAGCGCAATGGTGGATACAAGGGTTTACCGGGGGTCCAACGTAGGGACGGACCACTACCTGGTCTTATGCCGAATTAGGGGTTTATTCAGACGTTGGCGGCATAGGACATCTGTGTCTACCACTGCATTACAGCGTATAAAAATTTAGAGGTTACAAGATGAATATATGAAAGACGAGTACAAATGCAGACTGAGAGAAAATATAAGTAATTTGGATGAGTTGTGTGTGAATGAGTTAGTCTTGTAGAATGTGTGGCATAATGTTAAGAAAGGTTTAGTGGATGCAGCTACCGAAGTATGTGGTGTTAGTAAGAGAACGAATGAAAGGAAAGACAATACGTTATGGTGGGATGTGAGGTACGTATGGAAGTTGAAGCAAAGAAGAGAGCATGGCTAGATTTACTAGCGATCAAAGCTGGTAATTCTGGCGGTAAGAATGATGAGAATGAAAGAAAAAAGGCAGAGTTTAAACGTTTAAATAAGAGAGTAAAAGAATTACTTGAAAGGAAAAAGCAAGAAAGAACGGATAAGAATGATAGAAGAATATCGGATAACTTCCAGGCAAATATTAAAATGTGGCATTGTCAAAGCTTAAGAGGAACAAAACAGAGGAAAACCTTAGAAAATACACTAAAATCCGGAATCGCTGCAACACATTGTGTAGAGATGCACAACGACGCCATATTCATCCATCAGTCGAGAACGGCGACTCATCTAGGGTGTGGAAGTTTCTTAAAACAGTTGGAGTTGGTAGAAACTCTCTTAATACTTCACCTCCCAGTGTTGATGTTGAACTATTAAATCAACATTTTTCTAATCCTTCTAACTCTTTTGATAGTGAACATAAACTGCAAACACTTCGTTCTCTTTCTGTAAGTCCGACTCCTAATTATTCTCCGTTCGTTTTTAGTCAATTTACTGTATGTGATGTTAAGAGAATCATATTATCCATCTCCTCAAATGCTGTCGGTAGCGACAGCATTAGCCGTAATATGATCGTTCCTCTCCTTGATGTTATCACTCCCATTATCACTCATTTGCTTAACGCATGTGCATCTTCCTCTAAATTCCCACAAGCCTGGAAGAGTGCTTATGTTATACCCCTTCCGAAGAAATCTAATCCCGTCAACCTCACTGATTTCCGTCCCATTTCGATTTTACCTTTCCTTTCTAAAGTCCTTGAAAAACTTATTTGCCAACAGCTGACACTTTTCCTTAATAAGCACAATTTGTTGAATTCTTTACAATCCGGTTTCCGTCCCGGTCATAGTACGGCTACTGCCTTAATTAAAGTTACTGATGACATACGGTGGGGTATGGATAATAAACAACTCACAGTCATGACCTTGCTAGATTTCAGCAATGCGTTCAATACTGTTGATTTCGATATACTGTTGAGTCAGTAGTATTCCCTTAACATATCTCCATCAGTAATTGACTGGTTTCAAAGTTACCTCTGTGGTCGTCGGCAGTGTATTCATGTTGATGAAACTCACTCATCTTGGTGTGATATTACT